TAATTTTCCCTTTGGGGCCCCGCCCTGGCCCCAGGGGTTGGGGTAGGAATCCCAATTTTACAATTTTGAAGCCTCATCTACCAAGGATGATTCTGACCAAGTTTGAAAAAAATCCATCCACTGGTTCTTGAGAAGAAGTTGAAAATGTAAAAGTTTACGCACGACGGACGACGACGGACGAAAAGCGATTAGAATAGGTCACTTGAGCAAAGCTCAGGTGACCTAAAAATGTAGAGAAAAACAAATTCCGGACAAAATATCAAAATACTGGAATGAACAAAGGGCAACAACTTTTGCAAATATCGTTGAATCAAAATTCTTTTAAGGGAGACACAACTTCATATCATGATTATAATGTATACTTTCATATCATGATAATTATGTATACTAAGTTTCAAAGAGATCGGTCGAAAAATGTAGAAGGATATTGCCAGACGAACAAATGTGTACGACGGACGGACAACCCCTTACCATAAGACTTCCGTCAAATTTGACGGGCGTATAAAAACAGTATTTCACTCCAGAACTCTTTTTGTTCAGGGTTACTAACCAAAAAATTTAATTTGCATAAAAAATAAAAGTAATAAGCAGGACACAACTATATGGATAGAAGTGCTTTTTTTTTTGAGTCCAGAGTCGTTTTCTTGTACCCTGGTTGGAACAGTTTAGGTGGCACAGAAATATTCCACGACAAACAAACGCACTTGGACCAGAACATTACCAAAGTTTAAGGCAGAGATTAAATCGCAAGATTTTTTTACAAATAATAATTTATTATATTAAGAATTGAATTTCCTTCTTTCGTTCGTCGACTTAATGTTTTAACAATTCCTAAAATATACATGTGAATTTACTTTATTTAACGCAGGAAAAAAAATATGCAAACAAGCAATACTCAGCATTTTAGCTGCAGGTAGGAACGTCTTGATATGCATGCACCGAATATTTCTGTCGGTAAAAGTCTCAGTTCAGATCTGAGCATAATTATCATGTTATTTTCAATTTTAATAAGTAGTTTCAGCGGTTTAACCAGATATGCGAATGGCCCCTGCCATCAAGTAGATGTTTTACTGGAACAGCTCTAAGCCTAATATTGACTCCAATCTTATTATATTTACCGGGCGCATCATTGCTTTCCTCTCCACTACTCGGTGCCCCATTGTATTTCCGTTTCCTGCCAGCAACTGGCGAACTAGTCCCACATTCCCTTCGCTCAAACTTGTCTCCCTTGTCCCACCTCTCCACATCCGAGACTGGAATCTCTTTCTCTTGTTTCACACCGATCTGAAATTTTCAGCGTCAACATTCACAGTTTTTTCGAAAGGGGAAAACAGCTTATGTGGTACTTAGATCACGATGTCAGTGATGATTGAATTTCACTCCTACCCAAAGTATATTTTAAAATATTTATTTGTATAATTATCAGAAATGGCTATCAAGACAGATTTCAATTGGGGGATTGCGAGGGATTATTTTTTATTGGCCCTTGTTTCCCCCATTTATCCAAGTTACTCTGAAAAAGGAGTCAAATATTCAGAATTCGACACGAAAACAGGCCTAGTCTCTAGTCTGAGCATATAGGTAACTCTAGAAAATCAAATAAAATTTACATTAAGGTAGATCCTGGCACTCTGTGTTGTATTGCCATGGAGAAAGTGATCCAGCTGTTTGTTGACCGTTTTATTCATCATGATTAATATTTTGCAAATTCAACAATCACCCTTACATTGCTTAATATTTTGATAGAGAAGTACTGTATACAATGAAATGTTCGCCCTCTGAAATGAGTGAACATTTGTCAACAACATCATTTACATGGTAATTAAGCGTGAAAGTCGAAATTAGCACTTGGCGAATTTGGATTTCACAGGCCAATGTTGGAAGTTTGACTGGGCAAACATTTCTTGGTATACAGTATTTGAATAAGAGCTATGGATTATCTTTCAAAAAGTGTGAAATGTAAATAATTTACTACTACCCGTTCCTAATATAAGTCATTGTAAAAATTCTCCTAAGCTTACTTCTGGTGTTCTCGATAAAAGATAACGGGTAGTAATGTAAACACAAACCAGATGTAAATAGCAGTCAGTCCCACACGGGTCATTTTCTGTGCGAGTGTCCGGTATTTTCCTGGTCAGCATGCTCGGTGTCGGGTGGTATGCTGCAATTTTGATTGACCACATCTTTTAAATTGTATAATTTTAATGAAGGTGTTTGGGGAATCAAAAATCTACGTTTGAAGTGCTAAATGCTAGTTGATGCAGTATTAAATGTGTACCACTGTGGAGTAAAATTAACCCTTTCACCGCTGTAGACCATAATGGACTCATCCAGATCAATGCATGGTAGAGTCTACCGAAGTTACATAGGGGTGAAAGGGTTAATAAGTGAAACAACAAAAATTACACCAATAACATTAAGTCTTCAGTAACTTTAGTGTTGTCCATTTGAGACAAATGTGTACAATTTGCTGGATACTATATTTGTTTATTTATATTTTTCCAATATGATTAATTATCATAGGTCAGTGGGTTTTTTTGCTCAGTTTTACAGCCGAATACAGGCTGTTTCCCCTAGCTAAAAAGTGCCTTATTTCCCCAAAATGACCAAATAATGAGGAATATATTCACAATTTCAATTAAATAATGGTATATTTTGCAAATTCATAAAGGAACAGGCTGTTGTAAAATTTGGGTAAAGAAAACACTAGGTGGTAGGTCTCTGAAAGAGTGCCTCCTTATCCTTCCAATATGATCTAATATCAAACAGCCCTTATACTTATCTAGTTATGAGCAGCATTTTGTTTACCTTAGGTTGATATAGCATGGACAAATGACCTACTACCACTCATAATCATTTAAACACTGGACACAGGACTTACGATGTAAAAAGCAGTCGTATTTGAAACACCTCCGGCAAAACAGAGTATGGAAGGAGTGCATGGTCTGGGCTCTGGGGACAGACTGGGCGTTTGGACCATCTATATTGGGGGTACACTCGGGGGGTAGGGAGGTACTGTCTCTTAGCTCAATCAGTTCCCGGTACCTACAATACAAAAGGTCATGTAAACTGAAATAAACAACATAGGCAAATATTCTGTCATTTCAATGGGCCATATACTTTATGTCTACAATAAAGACATTTTGCAAAACAATCATTAGTCCTTGTCCCTCTTAATCATTGTGATTGGTTACAGCCGTTAAGGCTATACTATACCAAACACTTCAATAAAATACACATAAAGCATGTATTTTCTGCAAGAAACATTCTTTCACCAAAACGAATCAATTATTTTTTAGTTGCTCAGTCTGCAAAGTATCACTAGACAACTGTCTTAACTTTGAGACTCTGAGTCTATCACTTAACATTGAGATGCTAAGTCTATCACTACACAACTCACTTAACTTTGAGACTATCAGTCTACCACTAAACAAATCACTTTCCTTAGTCTACCACTAAACAACTCACTTTTCCTCTGTCTACCACTACACAACTCTCTTTTCCTCAGTCTACCACGACACAACTCTCTTTTCCTGTCTACCACTAAACTCACTTTTCCTCAGTTTACCACTAAACAACTTACTTTTCCTCAGTCTACCACTAAACAACTCACTTTTCCTCCGTCTACCACTACACAACTCACTTTTCCTCAGTTTACCACTAAACAACTTACTTTTCCTCAGTCTACCACTACACAACTCACTTTTCCTTAGTCTACCACTACACAACTCACTTTTCCTCAGTCTACCACTACACAACTCACTTTTCCTCAGTCTACCACTACACAACTCACTTTTCCTCAGTCTACCACTACACAACTCACTTTTCCTCAGTCTACCACTACACAACTCACTTTTCCTCAGTCTACCACTACACAACTCACTTTTCCTCAGTCTACCACTACACAACTCACTTTTCCTCAGTCTACCACTACACAACTCACTTTTCCTCAGTCTACCACTACACAACTCACTTTTCCTCAGTCTACCACTACACAACTCACTTTTCCTCAGTCTACCACTACACAACTCACTTTTCCTCAGTCTACCACTACACAACTCACTTTTCCTCAGTCTACCACTACACAACTCACTTTTCCTCAGTCTACCACTACACAACTCACTTTTCCTCAGTCTACCACTACACAACTCACTTTTCCTCAGTCTACCACTACACAACTCACTTTTCCTCAGTCTACCACTACACAACTCACTTTTCCTCAGTCTACCACTACACAACTCACTTTTCCTGTCTACCACTAAACTCACTTTTCCTCAGTTTACCACTAAACAACTCACTTTTCCTTAGTCTACCACTTCACAACTCACTTTTCCTCAGTCTACCACTTCACAACTCACTTTTCTTTAAGAGTGTCAGTTGTGCCTCTCTCAGGGAACTGGCTCGATATGGCTTCAAATATCATATCACTGGGGAATACACTCTTGGTGTTGTCTTCACTGCACTCTGCCATTACCGACGATTCTGACGCTGCAAGAAAAAGCAAAGGCATCATAATTTTACTGATCTTCTTTGTTATGCAAACACTAATACTGCTGCTGATTGAAGCCAAAATCCTCTTCATTGTGTTTCCACTTCCAACTCTTGAAGAATAATGATGGATTGCGTAACTTTTTATTTGTAATGATTTTCCATCGATTTTAATACAGAGACATTATTTCAGACTTAAGTAATAGTTATCTTTATTGAAACAAGAGGCACAATGGGCCTGCATCCCTCACCTGGTATAAATCTTACGCTTATAACCTTTAGTCGATTGTACTTATTCTTTTGCATATAATGAAGCAATAGTATTCAAACAACCACTTACCACAAAAATATTTTTGTTTTGTCAATAGCTGAAGCAGGGGGTCGACACTTACACTGGTCTGCTAGTCCTGGACTAGTAGATTTCAGCAAGGACTAGTGAATCACCTAGCCTAACTGGTCCTTTGGACTTGTAAAAAATATGATTATAAAATATGAATCACTTAACTTTGAGTTGCTCAGTCTATCACTAAACATCTCACTTAACTTTGAGACCCTCAGTCTATCACTACACAACTCACTTAACTTTTAGATGCTCGGTCTTTTTTTTTTAAATTTAGAAAACTGCTTCAAATAAGATATATTGCATGATAATTGTCAAAATTCTCCTAAAACTTCATCATAGTTTTATAGCAGTAGTTATTTTAAGTCCCCTAGAGTCGGTTACTTTTGATGTTTCGTTCTGTAAATCACGATGTTTCCTTACCAGGAAATCTTTGACTAGTTACATTGACAAAGGACTAGTAAATAATCTATCCAACTAAAGTCCTGTAGACTACCAAGTTAGTGTCTAACCCTGTGAAGGATACTTAGGACTGAGCTGGAACACTACACCTGTAGACTACCAAGTTAGTGTCTAACCCTGTGAAGGACTGAGCTGGAACACAACACCTATGTCCACTGTTAAACTGTACCTTTATGTTCAGCCTCCTCCTGGTCAGGGTCGGGATAATTCAGCCACAGGGAGTTCACCAGCTCCACAAACGTCTCATCATCCAAGCTGTTGGAGTTTTTCTCTCCGTGGACTTTGCCATCATAGTTTTTCAGCAGCTCCTCAATGAAGGCTCCATCCTTGTCCAGTATGTCATCGCCCATATACGGTATGTTGTGTAGGACAGTCTCATCCTCAACCTGTTGCCATGATCAAATGAGATTTGTGAGGTTTTTTAAATCTTGATTTATACCTTGTAAATCTAAATTTTGAAGACTGTTGATGTTCCAATCACCAACATTTTCATGTATTATTCATCTGTTTACAAAATCATATTAATATCAAAAGTTCAAACCAGGTTAGTCAGAACGTCAAAATATGTGTGGTGTGGGTTTTTTTTGTCTTTGATATTTAAAAAAAATACATATAACATGTATAGCATGTTTATATTATCAAATATTTTGTGAATTCAGTGAGATGTTGTATTTTTGTATACAATGTAGTATATTTATTTAACATACAGGTTCTGTCAGATAATGATACTGATTCTTAACACAAATAAAAAAATATATACGAATACTAACTAAAAATACCAGTATCATATTCTTCAACTCTACCTACAGCAGTTATTTTTGCCCTGGATGTTGATCATGCTTAGGATGTCATAAATACTTGTTTTCTTATAAAAAAATAATTTATATCAAAGTTAACCAATTTTTAGGCAATTTTATGCAGCATGTAAGCAGATAATGTTTTCATTGAATTTATTCTGTTTGGCACAAAGTGTGGACAAATTACTGGGTTAATAGACAATTTCTAAGCTAAAGAATTAGCATCATTAGATGAAACTGATCATGCAACGACTTCTTAGTTTGGAAATAATGAACAATCTTTGAAATTAAAATGGTAAAATGCCATAAATTTACTTGTGGCTGGGTATAGGATAGATTATTACATCACACAGTAGACAAAGAGGTAAAAGATCAACAAGCAATGTTTTGTGAGAGACAGTTTGAATATAAAACGTACATTTTTTCTCATATATCATCTTGTATAGATTAACAAAGTGACACATGGAAAAAACTGTCAATGTACATTTTTGTGTATTTACAGTGTTTTCCAACTTGACCCTAAATAGTTTTATCGCATAAAAATTTGGACACCAGTGATTTTTTAATTTCTTATTTCTAATTTCTTATTGACAAATCTCAGATCTTAATTTCTCAGTGTTTTTTTGTTTCTACTTAAATTTAACAACCTGTTCCTACATGAATTGGAAAAAAATATCATTGTTTTCACTGAAATTTGGAAGATTTTTTTTCTTCATTTTGGGAAAATACAGAACTTTTTTGTCTAGAGTAAGCAGCCTGCATTCAGATGTAAAACTAGGCAAAAACAATAATTGTCTTAGGTTGCATTTCATCATTGCCTTACCATGTAGTTCTGTTGTAGCTGAGCCCAGCTATACATGGTCGGGACCTGCTTGACGATGTTCATCACACGCAACGACACAGACATGGTCTGGTTAAACATGCCGCTCTTTACTTCACACTGAAACAAAATACATTTGTCAATGAATCTAGCATGAAATATCAATCAATGGTGAGGTAACCAGGACTGGAATTTTATATTGAATACCATCATAGGGGTAGTAGTAATTTCTACTTTTTTACTAGTGCATGTGCAAATTCAACCGAGGCCAAAAAAAATAAAAAGATAGTTTCAGGTAACATGCCTTAAAAAAATTAGGGTAGGTCGGTCAGAAGGCAAATAATTTTATTTTAATGTTAATTTTTTTATTTTCATGAATTAATATCATGTTTATTTTAAATTTAACAGTTCATTTCCACACATTACCATGGCTATCAAATTGTCAAGAATAAGGTCAAACTCCCAGAACAGGAAGAAAGTACATTTTAATGAGTGGCTGTGAACTTTGCCTAACTAATAAATTAATCTTAGATACAAGTAGGAGATAAAATATCTTGGGTCGGCAGTAAAATCTAGGGTAGGTTGGGATACCTGAAACACTCGTATTTGTTCTTTGGAATAACCCAATATTCTTGATCAAGATAAGCAATATCAAATGTTGACTAGTCAATAGGGCTTGCGTTTATTAGAACCACTAGTCCAGCTGGAGAATTCACTAGTCTCGGACTATCGGGCTACCCTTATTGTCTAGCCGTGGTTATATAATGTGACATTGCATGCAATATTAATAATGTAAAGATAAATGCTTAAATCTGTGTAAATTTCACATATTAATTTGCAGTATGTATCGCCATGTTGTAGTGTAATTTTTACTTAGGCCAGACAAAAAAATATTCATGTGCTCTGTAACATGTCAAAAATTTGGTAAAAAAAATATATATATAGGAGAGTGATCGTCATTGACTTTAACAGTGCTTCTTCGAAAATTGCCTTTAAAAGTTTAGGGTAGGCACAAAAAATCAGGGTATGTAGGGTTACTGGAAACATCAAATATTTTTTGTTTGGCCTTACTCTTGACACGGATACATAAACCCTCGATAGTAGTCAATTACACTCATCCATATTTTCATGGTAATAGCATAATGCTATTACAGTAGTTGTCTCTACAATGTTTGTCTAAACACATCATATTATGTGTGAAATTTGAGTAGGTATCTATTCAGAGTTATATTCCTGTAAATCTGAACATGGCAGATTTCAGAGAAGTGGAATTAGTTGTCTACAATCCTATATTGTTTTCTGTATTCTAATGATGATCATTTTAGAAAATTTAAGATGCTTGACCTGAAATTTAGTGATAGTAATGATATATTGGTAAAGGACTATGTATGGTTTGGACCTTTTTTGGATCCCAAGTCCATCAAATTTTAAATCCTGAATAGAACTTTCAAATGACTGTTTCTTTAATTTTGAATACTTCCCCGGTACCATTATGTAAACCTATATTTGTGTTTTCAAATATGGCTGCCATGGTAACCAGTTATTATTTGCATAAATGTTTTGACAGGTTTTCGCCTAGTTTTTCTCTTGGCTTCCATAGAACGCACTTTTAAAAAGAATTCATATTTCTCCTAAAGATGTATAACAGGTGCTTACACATTATCCTTTGATATTTAGTTTGTTGAAGCATGCGCTCTATAGTTTCCAGGAGAAAACTATGCAAAATACACTGAATTTTTCTAATTTATGCAAATTTGAACTTGTTACCATGACAACAATAATTAGAAATACAAATAAATATTTTCATGATAGTGTTTGGGAAGTATTCAAAATGAAAGAAACCTTCACTTCAAGGTTCATTTAAAGGTATTGAGTTTTGATGCATTTGGGGGCCAAAACATGCCCAAACCATACATAGTCCTTTGAAATCTGGTTATTAATCGGTTAAGATTTCTCAATGTACAAAGTGTAAACAAGGCAATACCTTCCTAGTGACGGGCACATGACTGAAGGTCTCCGGTGAATGTAGGGTCTGGATTGGCTGTTGCTTCAGCCATTCACTATTAATCTCCTGCTGTTGATTGATGAACTGTCTGTTCGTGGTAAATGTGGTCTGAAAAACACATGGTTGATCCATTATATTCAACAGGGTGTCACAATTTTAGTAAAGAAAATGTCAAAACAATTGTTTGTGAGGGGATAGAAAATTAAAACTCTTCTCTTTACACTCAGCATTTGTATATATGTTTTAATATACAGTGGGGATCTCAACCATTCCCAAGTAATACACTTGTTTTGGTCCCACCCCTTATCCTGGGGGGTCAGTCCCACTATTTGTACAATTTTGAATCCCCGCCTCCCATGAATGCTTCCGATCAAATATGATTGATATCCAGTGCATAGTTCTAGCAATAAAGCCCAATAGCCCCCAACCCTCAGCCCCACCATTTGTACAATTTTGAATTCCCACCACCTAGGGATGGAAGAAATTGTTGACGCACGGATGATGGACGCAAGGTGAGCTAACAATTTTATGAAAAGACAGAATAATGTAGCATTAAATAATGCTGAAATGTTTTTGTTTTTTTAATTAGTCACTTAACTCATTCACTCCTGAAATTTCATAATAAACTATTCCAACCTTTGAATTGGAAGGGTTCAAATGTGTCTTCAGGGGTCAATGAGTTAAATCAGTCTATAATAACTGTTAAGTCTAGCAAAAAAAGGAGATCTGGTTACTGGGAAATTATCAGTGTGATATATAGGACCTTGCATTGTTGGGCTCAAGAATTGTCTGTTTCACTACAGTAATATTCACCAGGTATATAATAAATATCCAAGACCACACACTTGTGTTTTTCTAACGAATCAGAAAGCACGAGTTTATTGAGCATACAAATATATTCCCCGAGTGCGCAGAGCGCACGAGTGAATATATACGTCTGCGCAATAAATGAGTGCTTTCCGATTCGTTAGATAAACACAAATGTGTGGTCTTGCTTTTATCACATACCTTCCGTATTTGGTAGAGATCGGTACAAAGATTTTACAAACTTTGATTTATTTTGCAAATACCGGGAACTTTTCAGTTCGCCATGACAAGGGGATTCCCATACAAAGTAGTTCCGGCTAGTAGGTAAATACAACATTCCGTATTGCACATGGGCAATACAGAACGTTGTATTTCCTGGTCTGAAAATTGCTTGTATTACTATAACAAGATTCAACAGGTATGTGATGAATAAACTTATACATATGGTAAAGCACCTTGACTTCGTCAGCTCTTTTGAATCGTTTTAAGTGGCGTATCCTCATGAACTCTGATCGGACACGTTTTTTCCAGTCAATGACTTGTTTCTCCTCGGCTTCACTCTCTGTATCTGTTCCTAGTAGAGTTGACTTCATAGTGGAGTCTACAGATTCTAGAGTTGTCACCGACATAGTCTCAATGTCTGCCATTTAAAATTTTGGAAAATCCCCTGAAAACAGTAAAAACATTGATTAGACTTGATAACTTCATGTAATTCGTCAGGATCTAATGATAATATCCAGCCTCCTCTGCCTATTGAAGATTCTTATGTTGCCAAACACGAGGCTTTGCAGAGTGTTTGGCAACTTAAGAATCTTTCCCGGAGGGTTGATATAAATAGAATTCTCACCCCGTTCGAGGTGAGATAGGGGAATCTCAACCCGAGGAGGAATTAAGATTCTTAAGTTGCAAAACATGAGGCTTTGTCGAGTGCTTGGCAACTTAAGAATCTTTCCCCGAGGGTTGAGATCCCCTATCTCACCCACAAGGGGGTTGAATGATTCTTTTTTCTCTTACCATCTTCTCCCCTTGTGTATCATATACATTTCCATTGCGTATCATATACATTTCCATTCTGTATCATATACACAATGTAATGATAACGTTACGTGAAAAATACAGGGTTGACGTGACGTCATTGTATTGTTGAAGTGACGTCATACAATTGTTATGAATAGGGGATTCCCCCGTCTCAACCCTAGGGTGAGACTTGGGCTACATTCGCGTATCCCGGTTGAAATTTTCTGCGATTAAGGAACACACTTGGACCGTTCTATAAGCAGAGCTAAAAATCCACAGTTTCGGAGAATAAAAAACAGTGTTTCAAGAATATCATGACCTTCTTTCATCCGTCCAATGAATTACACAACGTATCTTAAAATCTAAAAACTACATGTGACTTGACATTGTTTTAGAAAGAAATAACGCAAACTGGCAATAGTCAGCATTTTCGTTTCGGTCAGGCATGTCTGGAACCCTCAGTCTACATGTGCCAAATTTTCCTGAGGTCAGCCTCGGTCCAGATCTGTACCTGTCGTTTTCTTTACAGGTTCAACCGTTTCAACCGGTAACGCGAATGTACCCAAGGAAATCTCACACTGGTAAAAGTGAGGATACACCTGTCCAGTGTAAGAGAAAACATTACTTCTGATCTGTGTGTACATGGTGGCAATTGCTTTTTTTTCAGAGACGGACTTAAGCTAATCGCATGATGGAGTCATGAAAGGATTCCTTTTTTCAAGAATTATGCATTATTTAGATAATGCGTGATTCGTTTGCAACAACCAACACTTTTGTTTGGTAACTCGCAAATGCATCGGATGATTTCACCCGTATTACCAACTTGTCACTGGCCTTGAGGAGATCAAATCACTTCGACAGACTAATGTTGATCATACATTTATCTTTAGATAAAGAACTCGTTACCTTTACTTTTATCATGTAATTTTGTTCCGAATGAAATCGCATGTCCTAATACTCACACACTTATTCGATGATATATTATATAATCGGTAACAAATTTACACATGTATTTGATATCAGATGATAGACGGAACCATCAGTGACGTTCCGACACCCTCGTATACTACCTTTGAAACAGAAATGTAATTAAACCACAGATAATTACAAAGTCAGCATCACATTGTTAGAAAACTGCCGCCACCTTGTCCAGAGCGCCTCCTAGCGGAAACGAACTTTCATTCGGAACAAACGGGAATTTTCATAATAAAGAATGAAACATCAAAAGGAAACCTTGATACGGTATAGTTCATTTCAATAAAGTTGTCGACAAAACGTAACGGAGACTGCTTAGATCAGCTTCTTACTGTAATACCACATGAATTTGGTAAATCGATTCTGTTGAGTATTGTGAAACTGCGTTCTTAAAAAACGTGCCACTTCAATACAACATGATGTTAACCTAAAACAGAGACGTATACTTGTTATTAATTATAATGTTGTGAACACTAATTAATTAAGTTAATTACTCTAATTTGGAATTTATGTAAATCTTAAAATTTACTCTTTTTTTACCTCAACTATTAATGATTTATGTTATTGAAATGTCCATGCTCTTTTAGATTTTTTTTTAGCAGAGGATTTTTTAAGTCATACAGTCAGAATGTAATGTGTATCAACACGTGTTACATGTAATAAATAGAGTACATCTACGTGTTTATAGGGGAATGTCCTTTTTATGATGGAAAACATAATATAATAATTAAAGACACGAAGTACCCGCAATTTTTCTTTTCTTTTTCTTAAATCCACGACGGATATCATAATACAGTATGATATTTTCAGCTAAATCATTTTCATTGTAATTATAAAAAGGAAAGAAAATGACTATATAATATCAACACGGAATTAGATTAGTCCATGATATCAATAATAAAAGAACCTCGCCTTTTTTTCAATTTTATGGTCATGAACAGTGTCGAGTCAGGGAAACATAATCTGATAATAGGCGAAGGCCACGCAAGTAAAATGATTTTGGCCACGGTTTTTCATAATTTGATATTTCACGGTCATTTGATGCCAGCATACGTGTTGTGACCGAGACCCCGTGTCTCTCGGTACTCAGATGATGGTCAGGCTTGATTGATTGGTGACCTTCATCTATATCAGCCCACATGGACCTGATAATTTTTTACAGATATATTTGGACCTAAACTAAGGTGTTCAGAATAATTTTACATATTTTAGGGGAAGTCGATCCAACCCCCTAAACATGTAAAATTACTCTGAACATCTGAATCTCGGGCTAAGATTCTGTAACATCCCAAACTCGGCTTACGCCTCGGTTCCCTTGGGATTATGTTACAGAATCTTAGCCCTCGACTGAGATAATCCGATCTCGCCCAGTTACATGTAAACGATTTTATAAGTCTCAATAACGCTTCAGACCAAATATGGTAACAATCCGCGCAGTCGTGCGGGAGGAGTAGCTTTTGACAACAAATGTTCCAGGCGCGTAGCTTCCGTGTTAGCAAATAAGCAATTGTATGCACATTAGAAATCCTCTAACATACTTTTAGAAGTACAATACCTTCTCGTAACATTCATATTGGGCGATTATTTTTTCTGAGTGATGCTGTTCAGCAAATTTAAAGTTAACGTGTTAATGAACCTTTCATTCAGTCTTTGTTTTCTTGACAATACCTAAGATTGTTTCTGTAATATCAATGATAACCCAGTTACTTTTTTCGTTTTAGAAAATTTAATCACATTTAAATGAATACAGTCTCAATCCAATCAGTCGTGTTGCATTTCTGTGCCAATGAAAGCGAAAAGTACCACTATTATTAATTCCGTGATAGGTTATACACACTATATTCATATGTAACAGAGGTCATTAGTTTTTCAATGCCTCCGCTATGAGTCAAACCCGGGACCTCTGGTTTGCTAGCCTTGTGTACGCTCATAGACACTGTTGATGTGGATCGGGATGATGAGCTTGGTGGTCAGACAAATATTGATGTGGATTTCGGATGACGAGCTGGGCGGTTAAACACAAGTAGATGTGGATTTGGGATGATGAGTGGGGTCGGTCAGACACATGTTGGTCGTGTTGCTTGGGCATTGACGTGGTCAGTGAATTTCAAGTTGTTAGTCGAAATCTATCCCTCATCCCTGCTCGTGTAACACTTTCTGGATTAACGAAGTACTGCTGTCATCAGTTAAAGTATAGTCTTGATATGATTCCGTGTTGCCAAGCTTGATATTCATTTGCACTTTTCTTTGTTCAGTTTCATTTGACATGTCTCAGTCCACTGACTAATGTTGTCGAGATCCTCCTGCATTGAATCATAGGCACTTGACGCTTTGTTTAGTCAGATTTTTTTTAATTTTTTTTTTATATAAGCATACATTTTATTTTTCAAAATTATTGTCTGAGAATTATCTGAATAAAAAAAGAAATGACATTTTTTTATTTTTTTTTAATGTATAAAAAAAATATCTTTGTCATTCCTTAAATATGTATTTTTTTAATCTGACATAACAAAGCGTCAAGTGCCTATGATTGAATCTTACATTCAGGGGATGCTATTTCACCATAGATTTTTGCATCATCCGCAAATAATTTTGCTATGTTTCTAGTCGCACCCGGATGATCGTTGACAGGAACAAAATCGGTCCCAAAACGCTACCCTGGGCAACTCCGCTCGTAACTGGAATTGATTTTGATGCATTGCCGTAGATCACTCATCCTCGATACCCAGGGGTTAAGCTCACTTTCGCTCTCTACACCCCTGGAATATGTCATAGCAAAATTGAAGACACGAAAAAAGCTGTATGAATGGTCTCAGGTAAAAAAAAAAAAACCTGACCAATTGCTAGGCCGATATCTGTCCTTTGAAGATTACAAAGAAGAGACGCCCGACTTCAAAGCCTGTCACTTTTTACCGTTACGTGACCGTGCTGTGCGAAAAGTCTCGTACATATATTTTTAGCCATATCACGCAATTAAAGACCCTCCGCTACAGTGCCAAGGATTCGAACCTAAGATAGCAGTAAGATTACCACATTGTGCCCACAGGGACCTAAGATAGCAGTAAGATTACCACAGTGTGTCCACAGGGACATAAGATAGCAGTAAGATTGCCACATTGTGCCCACAGGGACATAAGATAGCAGTAAGATTACCACATTGTGCCCACAGGGACATTAGATAGCAGTAAGATTACCACAGTGTTCCCACAGGGACCTAAGATAGCAGTAAGATTACCACATTGTGCCCACAGGGACCTAAGATAGCAGTAAGATTGCCCATTGTGCCCACAGGGACATAAGATAGCAGTAGGATTACCACATTGTGCCCACAGGGACATAAGATAGCAGTAAGATTGCCACATTGTGTCCAAATGGACCTAATATAGCAGTAAGATTACCACAGTGTGCCCACAGGGACATAAGATAGCAGTAAGATTGCCACATTGTGCCCACAGGGACCTAAGATAGCAGTAGCATTACCACATTGTGCCCACAGGGACCTAAGATAGCATGAAGATTACCACATTATGTCCACAGGGACCTAAGAATCTGTTACAGTTTAGAACCATATATTAACCTAAACTATATATAATGAGTTCGTGGTAATGTTATACATTGGGGGGTGGGGTGGGGGGTGGGGGGGGGGGGGTAACCACAGGGACATGGGAATTTGTTACAACTATATATGCCTATCTATACAATCGACTTTCGGTAAAAATGACACCCCCAATGATCATATATACGAGTTGTGTGATCATTGGGGGTGTTATTATACTGAAATTCTATCTAAACCCCTAAAATATGTAAAATTACTCTAAACACCATAGTTTAGGTCCAAATATAGCTATAACAGATTTTCAGGCCCCTGTGACATATACGAGCATTGGGGTGGCATTTTTAACCGAAAGTCGACCAAACCCCTAAAACATGTAAATTTACTCTGAACGCATTAGTTAAAGTCAAAATATAGCTGTAATGAATTCTCAGGTCCTTGTGGTATAAACGAGGGTGACATGGATGGTGATCTAAACCCATAAAACATCTTATATATTACCCTGAACACTTCGATTTAATAAAACCGTTAACATTTAACAAATTATCAGGTCCTTGCTTCATTCAATTAGTTTGCCGCTGCTACTATATAGACATACGATATATTTCTAACATAAAACGTACATTGTTGTAGGCCAATATATGTGTCGCAGCAACACTGTTTTATGGAAATATATCCTTGTATACGGCATTTCTAACACGAGGAAAATATTTACTAATTATTTAACGCAAAACGTGATATGTGGCTAAAATTTGATCTTCGACAGTCGCTCACGATAACGATTCGGCTATGGAAATTCCTTAAGAAAGTCCCAATTCTTTTGAAACATTTAGAATGCATCACGCTAGCTACGAACAAAGCAACACGGTCGGTTTGACATTGTTAGTTTATCGGAAAACAATTAAAACTCGTCTTCCCGTGTTTAACCATTAGTTTATACCGTAATCGAATGTTGATGTTCATATTATTTTTATATTCAAAAGGTTTATAAAACCCGGTATCACTAAAGATGATAAAGTGACGTTAATAGAAGTTTGACATTATTTCCTGAAGCATCGGGAAGCTAACTGATCTTTAGACACACCGGGGATACAATAGAGATTGATTTACAGATTTTGAAACAGACTATAACTACTCCGCGAAAAAAGTCTTCACGCATGAATGGGAACAGATGACCGTACAGTAAGGAGGGCAATCAGTAACAATCGCTTACTGTAATCCTAATAAGACTCATCAAGGGAACCGAAAGCTTAAGCCGATGGATTCTTGATGACTGTCCGTCGTGTTGGTGGAAAGTGTGAACTTCAAAACGAATCAAGGAAGAAGCGCACTTGCCGATTGATAAAACGTCGTCAGATCTCTAAACCTTGATAGTACTATGGCTTCGTCAAGTGCCAGTGCTAACGCACAACCCGTCCTTTCACCAGCGGCAGTGTCCAGTCAAAGACGTACTTCTGCTCCAGCTGTCAAGGATTCCAAAACTTCAAAACAGACCAAAAACCACAGCACAAGCGCCAAAAGGTAACTCATTCTAACTCGTACAATACACAAATAATTTGTCAACCCTTTTGGAGCCTCATTTAGTTGTATCTCATTTGCATATAAGCTTTAACGTTATAGTGCAGAAACAAAAGGGTGTTATTTGATTAACTATTCACATATTGTTGTTAAGTAAACATTAATTTCAATGTTGTCACAAAACTGTTTTGTTAATTTTACTGGATTTACGAGAAAGAATGCCGGAAATATTTGCCATCAATACAAGAGGCCATCTAAAGGGAACATTTATCTTGAGATACTATAGATCACTGCACACTTTTTGTACTGAATAAGTACTCCAATAACACACTATCTATGATAGTGAAACATAACTATGTTACAAGGAACGTTTCAAGAGATACACTCTGGTTGATGAAGTTGCTCTGTCAGATTACATGTATGATTTAATATCTGTGATTAACTCTCATTATGTTTGACACATTATTAAACCCCAGTAAAGTCATCTTTCGCTGTAGTCTACATTGCCCATCGTTGAAAACTTTTTAGCTTTTGTAGATTGTCTTGATTGTATTTCATTAACTCGTTAATAATTATCATCCGGTTGCGCATTTGAATTGATAAATGTCAATATTTAATTACACATTGATGCTCAGTTGTGACTGTATAGATTATGTTACTCACAAATTATAGAATTGACATCCAGCTGGTGTCAGAATATCAAGGGGGGGGGGGGGGGGGGGNTATATATTGCATGATTGGGCTTTGTATAATAAAGCTGCTGAGGCAGTTTTCTTTTTCTTTTGTCACTGGAGTTTCTTAGGTTGATCTACTACACAGAGATATGGATCACTTTTTTTGTGATCAGCTATCTGTATCTGTCCCAATTTTTAAGAAATCAAACTCTATCTAGCCTTCTCCAGGTTTTTGATTTTTCGATGCGCCTCTCTAGCCACTCCTTTGGTCCATTTGGTTAGAGACATATATAAATGTCTATTGATTTGGTTAACAGTTTGTCAGAATTAGAATGAGTTTCCGTTGTGAGATGACACAGCATCCTCTGCTTGTATATATATATATGCACGTAAAATGTATTCTCCTTCCGCTGACATGAACTCTGTTTCCTCAAAAACACACACAATTTCAGAGTTTATAAGTTTTTTGCAGTTGCAGCCTGCCACTTTTTTTAAAAATATTAATGAGGTTGAGGTCAGCGCGTGCTGAAACATGCAGTGTTGGTTTTGAGGAAAGATGGCTGCACTTCCAGCCAATCACACCACGGGTCTCGGCACGCGGCTGCAGACGTCAATCTCATTTATATTAAAGAAAGTGGCAGACTGACTGCGAAAAAATTTGGAATTCTGAAATCGCATGTGTTTTAGAGGAAACAGAGTTCATGTCCTTAAGGGCACACTTGCTATCAAACGAAGGGACAATATAATTAGCTGCAGAGGTATTGGCTCTGTTGAGGTAGCTAAAACCTTAATCCCATTACATATATATCCACAGTGGATGTAATACAATATCTGGCTTCTATGGACATGAGAAACAGAAATTCAGGAGGCACGCAATCTTTTGAAAAATGTTGCAAAGCAGTGACACAAGAGGCTCTTCAGCAAATGTCCACATTCACTGTTCGACACATCTACAATGATAAAATTAGTAAGCTAAACATGACTCATGAGTAGATATATACTTGCACGATGATAAAGAAGATGAAAGCAATGATGACGAAATTATATGTAGTGACTCTGGATAAAGAGGAAGATGGTGACTAAAAGTCTACATGTTTCATTGACCAGACAACCAGTGTAGTTTGGAAAAAGAATAGGTCCGCTGAATCCCACTGCATGACCATAAGAAGCGACTAATGTGGGAGCCCCTGCAAAATAGGGGGGTTTAGTCCGTTATTTCTACGAAGGGGAAATGGAAGAGACAAAAATTGGTCGGCGTCTCCCATTACAACACGTCAGATCTTTTTCGTTTCCTTCCTTTTGTGTCTTCTTTCTTTTCTAACCTCTTGCTGTTTGTGGCGGCGATTACCTAGACACCCGTTCTCATATTAACCATTGGGGATTTGCTTTTGTGCCCTCTATTTGGGGAAATAAAAGTGACCAAAATAAATCTGCTGCACCCATTGCAATATTTGGTATTTACATTATATTTCTTTCTATTTCTATAACTACCTTTTATTTCCTTTTCCTTGCGCCTCGCTTGGCAATACCTCACTTTTGGCTTTAACGTTAAACGCTACAGCGTTCGCCTAGGTAAGGAAGGCAATTGATTATGTCCCCAGGCCGGGGTATACCAAATTTCCTTAAAAATGGTAGTTGTGAGATAGCACTATAAAGTTGGCATCAGATCCGCGCTATCACAAGGAGGCAAGTACACCAACATACCCTGTCTCCAGCACACATACACACATGCATTGTTAAACAACGCACATAGAGGCACGTCCTTAAATGACCTTAGCTGTTAGCGGGATGTTCAACTAATTAAAAACAAACGAAACCAATCATATGGTTCTGGCTGATGCAAGGACGATAAACCCGAAATAAACAAAATCATTGACCAGACATTTCATACAATGATTGTTTCATCTAATTTACACTGGTTGAAGATGAAAACTTTGCATCCACACAAGTAAGGATGTCTTCCTGGTCTTTTCCTTTGCAGACAGCCAGCAAAAAAATAACAGACCATTCTAACACTTACTTTAATCAAGTTATTGTACTAACAAATAAAATCCCTGACCCTTCAAACATATATTTAGACCCAAAAATCATATAAAACGGAAATGTACAAGCAAAGATATGTATTTTTTTGATATACCAGACGACGGGTGGTGGCCATTTTGAATTTTTGCATCTGGCTGAGTTAGCCCACATTTTCATGAGGTTCACCCCAGTTCATTTGAATCAGCACCCTCAAATTGACTAAAATCAACTTTCAAACCTTGGTCCCAGAAAAGTGGTCACGGGACCCCAATGTGGGAACTCTACTAATGTGTACTTTTCCAATGTCCATGTATGTATATATGTTGATTAATTCTTATATGTAACTATTCTGTTTCTTGATATTGGAGGAAATAGAATAATAATACAAGCAATATACTTTGAACGGAATGAACTGCAAATAAACCAACCAAAGAACTATATATATAAGCATTATTATGAAAATTAGGCATGTTGCAAGCCCACTTTAATTTCCTCAGTTCAAAAGACTTGTTAATGTAAAGACCCACACCATGCAAAAGATTTGGTGCATTAGATGATAATGTTTAAAAGCTTTCCTATTGCTATACTGTATTGTAAGACATAAGAAAAACATTTAATCCAATAAACATTTTAGTGAAGCTTGAGTGTTCAATTATATTCATGTGTATATACAATATACATGGAGGACAATATATGTGAGCTACCAAATTCATTGCTTTGGGTTGGATAGACAGAATAAATCCAAGAGTTGCTCCCCTTTAGTTAACTTTGTTCAGTCAAAACCATTTACAAGTTTTGAGGGTTAACTCATTCACCCCTGAAGACACATTTGAACGCTTCCAAATCAAAGGTTGGAATAGTTCATTATGAAATTTCAGGGGTGAATGAGTTAAATGATCACACCTGATATACAATGTACACTTGATTTCACCTAATGGTCCATTATTTAATGTAATAAACTCATCTTATAACCGATGTTCTGTTGCCGAATTCTCAAGATCCGATGTGGATGTGAGTTATGGTTACATCTTGACACCCTGATTTGATAAAACGATTGCTGATTAGAGATTCAAAGAAATCACCTGCATAAAAAAAAACAATTTAAAATTTTGATTTTGAAAAATGGAAAAATAAAATATATATTCATGCATTGTACTGCCGGGCCGACCTAATGTACTAAGAAAAAAAACAACGAGGTATTTCACGTTTTTTTCCTCATATGCTAATATGGATAATTACATTCACTAATGAGAAAGTGTCATTAAGAATCCCTGTACCTGAACTGCCAAAAACTGTAATGTTGCATTAGAGACTGTTTTTCAGACATGACAATGCCTTTGATAAATAAATCATGTCTTACAAGGAAAACATAACTTGTCAGACTTTTATGAAAATAATAAAGATGAGATAAAACTTAAGCAATAACAGTGTCTTGAGTGTAAGAAGTTAAGCTAGATTGAGATTTTAACCCTGAACTTCAGGTTGTTGTACTATTGCTCTGAACACCTGGGCCCGTATTCATGAAACGGTTCTCATGCTCAAGCATGTATTTTGTGCTCAAACCCACTTTCTTGTAACTCCCTTAAATAATCTCTAACGATCAAAAGGTCAAATGTGAAAATTGATAACAGTATTTGGCGTTGAGTCTCTTCAAATGTTTTCCAAATTATTGGCATAATAAGAGTTGTTTATTAATTTTTAACTAAAACAAGAAATGAGCTTGAGCACAAAATCCATGCTTGAGCATGAGATCGGTTTCGTGAATACGGGCCCTGAGCTACACATTCAACAGAAGCGTCATGGCCCATCTGTGCTATAGTCAGGTTTTAGAGGAAACTTGTGTAACCCTACGTACGCCAAACATCTATCTGTCAAAATAATTGGGGGGTGGAGACCCAACGTTCTTGCAAGGAAGTCAGTTCCATAGGGCCGGTAGAGATCCTGGGGTGGATACCTTAATGGTATTCAACAGTGCTCATCAGGGAAAGCAGAGCATATGTAAGTAGAAATGATGAGCAACAACACCACTGAATCTGGTACAAAATGTAATGCTTGATTTACATCCTAGGTAGGATGTAAATCAAACATTACATTTAAGTTATACTTAATCACATATAACTATTTAACAACTGGGGGGTGGAGACCCAACGTTCCTGAAGGAAGTCAGTTCCATAGTGGTGGTAGGGATCCTGGGGTGGATACCTTAATGGTATTCACCAGACATCTATCTGACTGTAAAAGTATTTAAGTCTGGTGTCAGCGCTAGAGGAAACTCGTGTAACACCATGTACATCAGCAATCTATCTGTAAAAATGTTTGAAGGTGTACATAGGGTACATGTAACTGTGCTCTGAAGACGGCCTCCCTTTGGCCAAAACATGGAACTGACTTCCTTGCAGGGACGTTGGGTCTCTACCCCCCAGTTATTTTTAGCTCACCTACCCGAAGGGCAAGTGAACTTATGCCATGGCGCTACTTGTCCTGAACGGCTCAGTAGATTTTGACCAAATTTGGTCAGAAGCATCGTTGTGGGAAGGGGAACAAATTTTGTATAGATATGAAAGGATTTGTTCCATATTTGATCAGAAGCATCCTTGTGGGAAGTGGAACAAATTTTGTATAAATGGTGGGTCTGACCCCCCTGGGGGCTGAGGGGCGGGGCCCGATAGGGGAAATATAGCAAATTCTTTAAAATCCTTCTTCTTCTGTAGGAATGAAAGGATTTGTTCCATATTAAGTCTGAATCATCCTTGGGTGAAGGGGAACCAATTTTGTATAAACCGTGGGTCTGGCCCCCCTGGGGGCTGAGAGGCTGGGCCCAATAGGAGAAACATAGCATATTCTTTAAACTCCTTCTCATNAGGCGGGGCCCAATAGGAGAAACATAGCATATTCTTTAAACTCCTTCTCATTCTGTAGGAATGAAAGGATTTAATCCATATTTGGTCTTAAGCATTCTTGGGTAAAGGGGGACCAATTTTGTATGAATGTTTGGTGTGGCCCCCCTGGGGGCTGAGGGGCGGGGCCCGATAGGGGAAATAAGCAAATTCTTTAAAATCCTTTTCCTTCTGTAGGAATGAAAGGATTTGTTCCATATTAAGTCTGAATTATCCTTGGGTGAAGGGGAACCAATTTTGTATAAACGGCGTGTCTAACCCCCCTGGAAGCAGAGAGGCGGGGCCCAATATGGGAATTAGAGGTAAAACCTTTAAAATCCTTCTTCTACCATAGGAATTAAGGGATTTTATCCTAATTTAGTCTGGAGCATCCTTGGGCAAGGGGACTTAATTTTGTATAAATAATGGGTATGACCCCCCTAGGGGCATAGGGGTGGGGCTCTGTTTGAAGTTTGTTCTCGCTATATCTCAAGTACTGGATGGATCTTTCTGAAATTTCATATGTACTTACAGCACATACCATTGAGTGCTATATCTTTACTTCATACCAATTATTTTAAACACATTCAGGTGAGTGATACAGGCCCTCTGGGCCTCTTGTTACAGATAGATGTTTGGTGTGCGTGGGGTTATCCAAGTTTCCTCTGGCCCTGATACCAGACTTAAACATTTTTACAGCGAGATTTCTGGTGTAAGTGGTGTAACCCGAGTTTTTTCTGGCCCTGACACCATATTTAAACATTTTTAAAACCCGACTTACACCAGACATCTATCTGTAAAAATGCCTGCAGTTTGGTGTAAGCTAGGGTCAGAGGTAAAATGGGCTAATGGCAGGGAAGCTGGGGCGTGCAGGTTTGATCCCAAGTAAGATGCAACAGTAGTGGTCACTTCTCTCTTCCTGTTATATCTATAAAGTGATAAATGTGACACATTTTTACTTTGTGATATTTACAGACTACAAAAGGAACTTGCAGAAATCACACTGGATCCCCCACCTAACTGCAGGTAAGTGTATAAAATGCAGGTTTCTCCAGATTCTCTGTGTTACTGAAGGTATAGGAAGTGGACTATTGTTATGTATGGTATCAAAGTTGTCATTTTGTATTCTTAACAGTAAATTTTCCACATTTGTGATTTTAAATTGAAATATTATTAACTGGATTAAATTGCCAGGAATCCCCATTTGATTTTGTCTGGTCATCTCTTCTTTAGACTTTCTATTCCTTGTATGGCTGGATGAGGGAATTTATATTTAGAAATCCATCAACTTGGGTACGCAGACCACTAGCTGATGTTGAATCTCAATTTCCTTTGTTGTAAAAATCAAAAGTGAAGAATTTAATGTCAGATAAACTTGGCTCCACAAGTTGTGACGAATTCATTAACTCATTCACCCCATGAAGACACATTTGAACTCTTCCAATTCAAATGTTGGAATAGTTCATTATGAAATTTCAGAGGTGAATGAGTTAATTGTGTATCAGATAATCTAGCGATTTAATTCCAAGATTGTCACCATGGATACTTTCCTGTTTACTCATACACAGAATTGTTCAGGTACATTTTTTTTGTTCATGTATGCAAATAACTTCTTACAAATATTATACAATTACTAACTTGGTAAAAATCATTGGACAATACTGATCATGCATGTAACTTTACAATGTGTGCTTCAAATTCAGCTTCTTACAAATAACTTTCACTTTGAGGATTTACAACGTTAACGGATGTGCACAATGAATGTCAAAGAATTTTCCAGAAGAAAATTACAAGGACATTTCTCATATTTTTCCATGGTGGAATTTTGTATTATCGGAGAGAAAATCTGACGAAATCAAATTGGTAAATTTGAAATATAATCCAGACAGGAAAACTATCCATTGTTCTACATGAATCTTTTCACAATCCATGTATACTTACCAACATGAAGAAAATGTTTAGAAATAGGAAAACTACCCATAAACAAATAAAAATGGCCAGAATTAATCCTGCACATGTTTAAGCTCTTTGATGTGTTGCTGAATCAGTGTTTCGGTTCAGAAGAGGAAGACTCATGCAAACTGAATTTGTTTCATTCTTTGCAGTGCTGGACCAAAGGGAGATAATCTCTACGAGTGGGTATCCACCATACTTGGACCAAAGAGTTCTGTGTATGAGGGTGGTGTGTTTTTCTTGGACCTGAACTTCTCACAGGATTATCCATTTAAACCCCCAAAGGTAGGATATATTCCGCAGTGTTTAAATTGTTCTAGCTGTGTCTGCTCTGTTATTGGTTTAAGGATATATATATATATATAGTATCGATAATTGCAATCGTTAACCCTTTCACCACTGTTGACCATACTAGACTCATCCATATCAATACATGGGAGAGTCGACTAAAGCTACTTAGGGGTGAAAGGGTTAAGATACATAACTGGTTGCACACTAATAAACGAAGCTATTTTTTGGGGGTCCTGACTGAGCTCAGAATTGCTATAAGGCCATTTGATTATTTTTCTACTGTAGGTATATTTATTTTACGTGTATGTAAAAATTTGTTTCAAGTACTTATTAAAGAAATAACAACTACATTAAATGAAAAGAGAAATGAGAAAATACAAATCATTAAAACATACATCAATTCTTTACATATTTAGCTCCCCGGGAATAAAATAATTTGAGTCAAATAAAAGTAACTGTATTCAGTATAAAATAAATATGATAAATATATAAATATATGAAATGTATTGCTTGTTGGCCCAGTTGTTAACGCGCTTGTTGGCCCAGTTGTTAACGCGCTTGTTGGCCCGGTTGTTAACGCGCTTGTTGGCCCGGTTGTTAACGTGCTTGTTGGCCCGGTTGTTAATGCGCTTGTTGGCCCGGTTAACGCGCTTGTTGGCCCGGTTGTTAACGCGCTTGTTGGCCGGGTTGTTAACGTGCTTGTTGGCCCGGTTGTTAACGTGCTTGTTGGCCCGGTTGTTAACGAGCTTGTTGGCCCGGTTGTTAACGCGGTTGTTGGCCCGGTTGTTAACGCGCTTGTTGGCCCGGTTGTTAACGTGCTTGTTGGCCCGGTTGTTAACGCGCTTGTTGGCGCGGTTGTTAACGTGCTTGTTGGCCCGGTTGTTAACGCGTGGGGGTCTTATTGTGGGAGGAAACCAGAGTACCTGGAGAAAACCCCTGTTGTCGCGGAGGTGACTCCAAACCTTTTCATGTCCAATCATGGGAATCGAACCCCGGCCGCCTCGGTGAAAGGCAAATGCACTATCCACTGCACCATCCAACCACCCAGTTTAAAATAGCAGTTTTATTTTGGGCTTGTGAATTTTAGAAGTTTGTTCTGACATATCCTGAACATGATCAGTACGTTTTTTTTAACAGGTGACGTTTCGTACCCGGATCTACCATTGTAACATCAACAACCAGGGTCATATCTGTCTGGACATCCTAAAGGACCAGTGGAGTCCAGCGCTGACCATCTCAAAAATACTCCTTTCAGTGACTTCCCTCCTTTCAGACTGTAATCCGCATGATCCTTTAGTTGGGAACATCGCACAGCAATATCTGACCAATCGCGAGGAGCATGACAAAATAGCTATGCAGTGGACCAAGCGATTTGCAACATGATTTTTCATTGGTTACACGTTAAGAAGTTTGGTCACAGATTGTTTTCGGTTGATGAATAACGAAAGAAACATTAATGCTTTTTATGATGATCCTACTGTCCGTTCCATGTATATTGATTTCTCAGTTTTAGAGATAGTAAAGTTCATTTCTGACAAACTTTCACAACTAATACCTCAATTACCTGAATTGCCAAGTCACCGTGATCACTACTCAAAGAAATTATTCTAAATGTCATTTTCCTGACATATATTTGTTGGAGGTGTGTACAAATATTTTTCATTTGCCATATTTGAGCTAAGAAATGCCCCCTTTCACCCCTATGTAACTTAAAGAACTCTATACCATGCATTGGTCTGGTTAAGTCCATTATGGTCTACAGAGGTAAAAGGGTTAAGCATCTCATCCCTGCAGTCAGTGTGATTTTCCAAATTGCTAAGAACCCTGAAAAATGACTAGGTCAATATGGTAAGCATACAAAAGGGTTTTCCTCAATAATGATTTTTATAAAAAAAAATCCACGGATGTGATTGTATGTTCTTTAGAACTGTTAAATTGGATGGATTTTTTTATTTAAAATCTCAAAAAACTGAGAATCAAAATAAGTTGGGCAGATTGTTGATGTGCATATCATGATACCAGCATGTGTATAGTGTATGTACAGAAGTATGACTATGGAAAGTGAGTGAATAGTGAATGTAAGGTAAGAAATGTCCCTGTTACATGATTTCTAGGTGGCTGCTGTTCTATAAATGGAGCCCTTTTTTTTTTTTTAGCTAGAATGCAGAATGTGTCAACAGAATTTTTGGAAAGATTGAACTGACTTGTCTAGATCTAATATGGTGTGAAAAAGAGACTTGATGGCAGAGGGTTTGTTACTGTAGCAAAAATGTATGTATAGTTGTTAATGTTTCTGGAAACGGGTATCAACACTGTCAGAGAATGTTTTTGATCCAACTGCTGGATGCGTCTTTGATGGAATCTGTTCCTTTGGTGACAAGCTCGAGAGGGAATCATATAGCTGACTTGGTCCAAAATGTGACAATTTATATACCATAGGTCGTCAAATTCCGTGCATACACATAACAGTTGTATTTATTGGAAATTCTAACGGTTATTATTTAGTGGATTGCCTATCAATATCTTTCAGTGTTAGAAATTAAGAAGAGCATTGTAGACAATAGCTATATATATGTCAACAAACGATTTTGTTAGAGATTCATGTTGTGTGCTGCCGGCAAGAAGCTAGCTTTTCATGTGAACATTAAATTAAAGCACATTTGTGATAATCGGTCTCATCAGAACTCTTGAAGTGAATGCATATTGCCATGTTAATATTATAAAATGTAAAACCTTTTTTATTATAAACACAATAGTCAACGTTTTTTTCTCAAAATCCTGGTCAGTAATCTTTCGGCATTAAGAACGAACAATGTGATACCTGGTATATAAATGAATCGGGAAGAATGAAGGAAAAATTGGAATACACGGGTGATAAGTGAGAGGGCATATGAAAGACAGGATATTATATTGAGGTCGTGCTGTTTGTAGACAGACAAGAATTTCTGTAGAGTCAGTGTTCCTTTAATCTCATCCCACTTAAGTTATTTAGTTTGTCTAAGTTTGACAATACTATGTAGTTGTCAATATGTTTTGGCAAATCATTTAAATGTTTCGAATTTATAGCATCGGTTTCAACTGTTCACAATATTTATATCATATGATTATTACAATTTAAGGAAGTGTCCAACAGTCACTTAAATTCACATCAGATTCAACAAAACAACACAGGTGTATGTCGACTATACGTAAATACATTAAAGGTTGAGCTTTCTGTCATGTTTTAAGCTGTTAACTCATTCATCCCTGAAGTTTCATAATGAACTATTCCAACCTTTGAATTGGAAGAGTTCAAATGTGTTTGCAGGGATGAGTAAGTTTAATAGTTCAGTAATATTTTAGATTCTTAGACTGTTTTTGAAATGCACAGTTGCTAATAAACAAACCTCAATTTTCAAAGCCTTGTTAGTTTTACGAGTTGTTAAAACAAATTTCAAAATGCAACTTTTGAGAAACATTCAGAATTTTTCAAATGCATTTTCATTCTTCAGGCACTCCTGATGAACCCTTTTATTTGTGGTTTTAGTTTGGAATTTCAATATTTCTGAAGATTGTTTAACTTCTTGTTAAGTTTTTCAGCCATTGAATAATTTGAACAAGTCCGGATATCATTATTTTTTTCTTGAAAAAAAAAAAATGATCGGGAAACTAGGTAAAATGGAGATCGGTGAAACAGGTGTTAATTGCTTTGTCTATATTTTAAAATTCATATTGTTTGTTGATAAAACACCTGCACATGATGATATGTTGTAAAAATGCTGATCTGGTAATAAATAAAAGCAACTTTGTTTTCATGTTGAAGTTTTTTATGCTTATAATATACTTTTTACATGACTCTTGAATTTTGGACATGCATAACTAAAGTATTACAGCATGAATTTCAAGACCAGATAAATTGTTTAACAATGCAATTTAGACATGTTAGGATTTATTTCTAAAGAAGAAAGCCAGACATCTTATCTTCAGATTGACAATTTAGTGTCAACATCGAACATTTCCAATTGATAAATCCACATTTTATAGAAGAATAGCTATTATTAAGTTAGTGAACTTATGCAATGGTGCGGCATCCGTCTACTTTTCCTTTGAACGACTTCTGAAGAATGGTCTGGCCTATAGTCATGATATTTGGGTGATAGCTTTTATGGTTAAAGCACAACAAAGTTTGAGAATGAAAATGACTGATATACTTTCAAGGTCACAGGGGTCAAAAGTGTCAAACACTTAAAACGACTTCTTCTGAAGAACTGAAAGGTATAGAATCTTAATATGAGGCTGGTAGCTTCGTTAGTAAAAGCCTAACATAATTTGAAAACGAAAATGGTCTTGACACATTTTCAAGGTCACAGGGGTCAAATATGTCAAACTTAGTAAACAACTTCTTCTGAATTATCGAAATGCATAACATCATATTATTTGGCTGGATGCTTCTTAGGATTGAATCCGACAATGTTTGCGAATGAAAATGACCTCGACCTATTTTCAAGGTCACAGGGGCAAAACATGTCAAACACTTCAAATTACTTCTGAATAATCTAAAGGCATAGCATTATAATATTTTGCTGGTAAATGGAGTTGGGATATTTAGCTAGTAGCTTCCTTAGATAGAGTCCAACAAAGATTGCGAATAAAAATTACCTTTACCTACTTTGTCCTATTGAGTGATCTTAATCTAATTTGATATAGAGTATCGTTGGCCCAACATGATTCAATGTTGTAGAGACCATGCATCCTAATGGAGACTAGAGAATGAGACCCGATTAGGTAAAGGTGATGCTGAAAGACAGAGCAAATATTTGGAAATATTTGTAGTACAGTGTAAAATATTTTGCTGACTGATTAAATATACAGGTGAGCGATACAGGCCCTCTGGGTCTCTTGTATGTAAATTCTCTTCCACACTTGAGCTGATCCTGACAGATTTAGCTTTAGCTTGCTTGGTTTGAATGACCCAGGCTAGCTTATGCCATTTCATGGGTCCCATCTGTCTGTCAGCCAGTTTTGCTGGAATCATTGTTAAACAGTGGGGATCAAAATGGTTCAAATAGAGGAGCTGAGGTTCGGGATCAAAAAGTATGGATTTGGCCATCCCTGGAACAATGAGACCGGTAACCAATTATCAACGTATTTGGATGGTAGCATCATTAGTGCTTTATCTTAAACAAACAATCGTAAATCCATTAATATTTAGCTCATAACTGTTCACATATTTTTTACAAAAATGTTTCACAAGAATAAACCAAACTAATTCAGAGATAGAAAAATACTGGTCTTTTTCTGAATTCAATTCAATTTAGTGTATGTAATGCAAACTACTATTTATCTCATAGAAAGGATTTAGAAAATTTAACTTTCAGCATTTTTACCCAAAAGTCTTATTTCATCTCTGCTTAATGTTCATTATGAATGTTACCTCTGCTTCCTCAAACTTTGTTAAAAGGTTAAAATATATTTGGAAAAAAAATCAAAATTTGGCAAAAGATCAAAACAATTTCAAAAACAAAAATAGAAAAGAATAACATTTTCCAATAATTTAAATGTGATTGGCATCATATTTGCTGATTTATCTGGAGCTTGGGTTTTGTTTGTATGGAGACATTATCACGCAAATGTCCACCTACAAAACTGTTGCAGTTGATGTTCGACAGGTCTTATCGGTTAGGATAGACCCAAATCACGTGTCCATGCTCTCTACTATTTAAAGAGAAAGACTCCAAGACGGTCGACCAATATAGGACCATATCGCTACTGATTGTCGAGGGGAAGATTTTCTTCTCGATACTTGCCAAGAGCATGACAGCCTACATTTTGGATAACAGTTACGTCGACACCTCGAGTCAGAAGGGAGGAATCACAAGTGTCATCAGCTAACTGATCAGAGAGGCCAAGCAGGAAAAAGGTAACCTGACAGTGGTATGGTTAGATCTTTAAAATGCCTACGGATCTGTGCCACACAAACTGATTGAGGCAGCCCTGGACCATTATCATATTCCAGAGCACATCCGGAAAATGGGAATGAGCTACTTCGGAGTGATATAGTTGGGGTTTACAGTTAGGGAGAGCACTACGGCATGGCAAGACCTGGAAAGGGAATAGTTACAGGATGTACCATTTCACCAATACTCTTCTTTATGGGAATGAATATCATCATCAAGACAGCAGAGAGAGAAACCAGAGGACCTAAAATAGAGTTTGGCATCTATCAGCCAGCCAAATAGAGGCTTCATGGATTACCTAACGATAACTACCACCACATATGTACAGGCCAGATGGGTCTTGTCCGCGCTGGATGAGGTGGTTACATGGGCACGGATGCAGGTCAAACCTCGGAAATCACGTTGCATAATTATGAGGAATGACAGACTCAGCCGACAGTTTGTACTGAAGATCCAAGAGGAGAAGATACCTTCAATCATTGACAGCCCTATCAAGTGTCTAGGGAAATGGTTTGATGACACACTCAGTGACTCACCAAAAGTCAAGTGCGCCAGTGGATGAAGAAGACATAAAAGTCAGGACTTCCGGAGAAGTACAAAACATGGATATACCAACATGACATGCTACCATGGCTCACATGACTGCTTCTACTGTATGAAATACCAATCTCAACAGTAGAAGGGTTAAAAAGATGGTGAATTGGTACCTGCGGACGTGCCTGGGTTCCCACCAAGTTTCACATCAGCTGGGCTGAACAGCTGTTCGGCTGAACTACAGCTACCATTCAAATCGGTCGCTGTAGAGTTTAAAGTAGCAAAATGCAGGCTGGTGATGACTCTGACGCGAAAATCATCGAGGCAGGGATACAGACAAGAACAGTGAGAAAGTGGTCAGCAAGCACTGCGGTTAGTGCAGCAGAGCGTATGCTTGAGTTGAAGGATATCATCGGGAACACCTGCGTCGGTGACAAGGGTTGGCTGCTCTGATTTCCAGTAGTGGGAGAAAGCAAACACCCAAGACGTAAAATGGTGCAGAAAGTAATCAGAAGGATTCAGGAGGAAAAGAAGAGAAGGAAATTTGTGGAACTCAGCAAACAGGGAGAAGGAAATTTGTGGAACTCAGCAAACAGGGAGCGTGGACCAGATGGAATCCCCCAGAGAGGAAGATGACAGGGGCGGCACTAAGACTAAGACAGAATAGATACCGATGGAGGCACGTAAACGTCTTGCGGGTCCTAGCAGATTTCCTTGAAGTGGAGAGAGGGAAGAAAATAACTGGTGTAAGGACAAACCAGGTTGGTATCAGGTTTGTGGAACCAAGGGAGAAAACCACAGTAAAGCCCCGAAGCACCTCATCCATCTTGGATCGAGCGCAAACATAGGAGATGAAGGTTGACCTCGACAGGAAGCTTGTGGTTCCAGGAATTGTGGATCCAACGCTGAGGCCTGACATGGCAATATGGTCAGAGCAATCCAAACACATCATCGCCATAAAGCTCACCGTACCATGGTAGGAAGGCGTCGAGGAAGCCCACGAGAGGAAGAAAGCGTAGTATGATGATTTAATGGAAAAGTGCAGGAGCAGAGGATGGACAGTATGGCCCTTTCCAGTGGAGGTTTGCTGTAGAGGTTTCCCCGCACAGTCAGTGTCAGTGAAGGGCAAGAGCTACCGTCATCATACGATTGAGACAGGCTACAGAGAGAGCATCGTGCTGACTATAGCACAAACGAGAAGAGCTGGTGTGGAAGCCAACATAGACGAGTTGTGGTTTGGCCACCACTACTGACCCACCAGCCGGAGGATGTAGTGATTAGGGATCAAAACATCTGAAGAGGGATGGACATCACCTGATGACGTCAAATGAGGCTTCGCAATAAGAATGACAATAGTGACGGGCTACAAGTCAAGGATGTCACAAGATGCAGAATTACAATCATCTGTAAGCAATCATTGCTATTACCACTAGGGGTGCCGCATCTACAACCTTACAGAGAAATACTTAGGGAGTTCCTCTACTTACTTGTTTTCAAAACCCATATTCCTAGATCAATAGTTTGGCTATGAGCTGACATATCGACAAGGAACATTTATAAGAGTTCCTCTGTTGGTTGATAAACTATGAAATGGTAACGTTTTGGCGATGACTCTCTAACATGCAGGGAAGTTGAGGAAATGCTGGTAAGGATGATTATATCCTGTTCGATTATCTGTAGTGTTAGGTTTATGAAGACGGCTGTAAATCAGATGTTCTGGTAATGAGTCCATGGAAACTTATTGGTGTTCCTTGCAGTGGCATTTGCACGACTTTATGATGATAATCCTCATCCTCAATACTCCATGGGTTACACAGATACAGAGATTGATTCTGACACAGATAGATAGAATATATGGTCAGAAGTTACCATCCTTTGATAGTTAGCTCCATATTAAAGATACATGATTTGAAATTTGCATAGTTCAAAGCTAAAGTTTTGCTTTAAACCAATAATAGTGTGGTCTATTTTCCCAATGCTCATCTGTTTCGTACTCAAATTGTTAAACTGTCATTGGGTTCACTACTTTTACGCTCACTTACTCTCTCTGCGCCCCTGGAATATATCATTGAAGGGTATGTACGCGCCACCTGGTTGAAAATACAAGTAAGACTAGTCTGATCCTTTGGTGTAAGAATCGCACGATTATAACGGTAAAATTGACCGGTTTTGAAGTCGGGTCGCTCCTCTATCATCTTCAAACTTATCTGCCTATCGATTTGTCAGTATGTTTTACCCGAGACCAAACATATAGCGAGTTGTATGCCGCCAATTGTGGCATGACATAGTTCAGGGGTGCAAAAAGTAACCCATGGATAATCGAGG